CTGTGCCCCCTCCTCACCCCTTCCATCTCCCCTGTGCCCCCTCCTCACCCCCTGTCCCCCTCCTCACCCCCCAGGCTCCTTCGGGGCCCCGCACACGTGTGGGGTTGGGGTTGGGGGTCCCTGGAGGGGTTTTGAGTGGGGCTGCTCCTTCCCTGACCCCTTCAGCCACCCCTGGGGTGAGAGGTGTGTGTGGGGGGGGGGTCACGGAGGAGGTGGGATCATCCCACCTCTTCCCCCCGCAGCCCACCCCGGCACAGGCTGGAAATTGGGGTCGGAGCATCCCCTTTGGAGGGAATTTGAGGGCCCTCTCCCCCCTCAGGACCGGGATCCCGCTCTCCTCCCCGCGGTTCTTCCCAGCCTCTCCCTCTGCTCCCTCACAATTCCCTCCAGCCTGTTATCCATGGCTGCTCTGTTTGTGGATGGTTTAGGATCAGAACAATCCCTTCTCCATGGCCTCATCCCCCCCCTCGCTCCGGGATTCCCGCTGGAATCCAGGCCCCCGGATCGTCCCCTGCGAGGGTTCCGTCCCGGGCAGGTACCAAAACATGGATAAAAGTGACCAATTCTTCCCTGAAACCCAAACACAGCTTCGCCTGTGCCGGACTTTCCCGTATTTAGGGCAGAAATTCCAGCCTTTTCTCTCCTCCGTCCTCCCAACCCCACGTCTGGGAGGGTCAGGTCACTCAGGAGGCTCCATCCAAGCGGGAATTTGGTGGGGGTGGGAGCAGAGGAGGGGGAGAGCGAGGCAGGCAGAACCCCAGGCAGGTGGAATTCCAGAGTTTCTCCTGCTGGATCTCCAAGGCAGGATCGGCGTCCTGGTTTAACTGATCCCGGGGTTCTTTTCCCCAGGAGATGCGACTCCAGCGGTGCTCCCGGAAGGGGGATAACGGGATAACACCGGTCCCAGGACCCCTGGGAGACTCCCGGGCTGTTGGGGTGTTTCTGACTGTAGGAACAGCCGGCTGGAATTCCAACCCTTTCCCTACAGGGCCTGGAGGGGGTTTTGGGGCCAGCCCGGAGCGGGAGGCACTGGAAACGCCGGGAGATGCCGTGTGGGTCCTTGGGAACAGTTGGATCCAAACTGATCCCGCTGTTGAATCGTCCTGTGGACGAACTGGCAGGATTGGGATCGGGGGGTTTCCTCGGCGTGGAATCCGCGCGGCGGCGGCTCCAGGGAATGAGTTTTCCCGTTTTTTTTTTTTCCTGTTGCTGGTTTTGAGCCCCGGCTTTGGGTGGCCCATCTCTCCATCTGGGGAGGTTCCAGTGGGAAAAGGCCGAGGAGTCTGGTTTGGGGGCGAGGGAAGCTCCTGGAAAAGGGAAGGGGGTCTGGTTGGGAGCACTGGGATAACGCAGGCGGGATCCACCCTCTCCAGGTGGGATTTGGAGTCACCAGGCGGATTTGTTGGGGTTTGGTGGTAGAAGGAAGTGGAGCAACTGGTGGAGGCGGAGGAGGATGATCTTCATCACCCTCGGGTGCCGAGGGCCGGCGTTTTCCAGCGCTTTTCCACGGCACTTCCCAATCCTTGGAGTAACCGAGAGCCGGCGGGTGTTGCGGGGCCGGGCAGGGGCAGGTGGGGGGAAACCAGGACTTTAATTAACTTTATTGGGTCCAATTAACAGCCCTGGATGGGGCAGGTGCTGATCCTCAGCCTGGCCTCGTGGGAATGATGCCGGAGCTGATCCCAGCGGGCACGAGGCGGAGTCCGGGGCAATCCCAGGATCCAGACGTTCCTCTGCTCCGAGGAACAAAGCGCTGGAATTGGAACAAAAGGCTCTGCTGCCCCGGCTGGGGGTGGTTCCCTCCGAAAGCAGCTCCTCGGGCAGGAATTTGGTGTCATTCGGGCTGAATCTGTTGAATTTTATGAGTTTTTTGCGCTGACTTCCCACCCGGATTTGCTGCTCGGAGTTTATCCTGGAGCTTCCTCCGGGTAAACTCAGGGAAGAGACTCGATGCAGCCTCTGGACTTGTGTTGTTTCTTAATTAACGAGGTGACTTTGGGGCTGTGAAATGGATTTGGGGTAAAACCAGGGATCTGGCACAGGGATCCATGCTGGGATCTGCCTGTGGATGTGGCTGAGGGATCTGTGCTGGGATCTGCCCCTGGATGTGGCAGAGGGATCCGTGCTGGAATCTGCCTGTGGATCTGGCAGAGGGATCTGTGCTGGGATCTGCCTGTGGATGTGGCACAGGGATCCATGCTGGGATCTGCCCCTGGATGTGGCAGAGGGATCTGTACTGGGATCTGCCTGTGGATCTGGCAGAGGGATCCATGCTGGGATCTGCCTGTGGATCTGGCTGAGGGATCTGTGCTGGGATCTGCCTGTGGATGTGGCAGAGGGATCTGTGCTGGGATCCGTGCTGGGATCTGCCCGTGGATCTGGCAGAGGGATCTGTGCTGGGATCTGCCCGTGGATGTGGCAGAGGGATCTGTGCTGGGATCTGCCTGTGGATGTGGCAGAGGGATCCATGCTGGGATCCGCCTGTGGATCTGGCTGAGGGATCTGTGCTGGGATCTGCCCCTGGATGTGGCAGAGGGATCCGTGCTGGGATCCCTGTGTGAGGAGCAGGAGGAGAGGAACAACCGGCTCTTCCCTCGTTTGGTTCATTAATTAATTAGCCATCCTGGGGCAGCAGGGGATTTTGTCTGGTTTGGGGACGGGAGCAGGAGCTTTAGGGAAAATCTCGTTTCGTTGGAAAACCTCTTGGGAATAAGAGGGAATAAGGGATTGGACCCTCAGAGGGGTGTCTGTGCCCTGTAGGGCGCCAAACCCTCTGGAAGCATCCCGGGGGGCACCCTCCGGCTCTTAGGGATACAAATCCTTGGGAGCAGAAACCTGGGCTTTGGGCTGGGAGCTGGCATCCCCGGAACGGCTGTTCCCGCTCCCCGGCCCCGCTCACCCGGCTCCCCGTCCCTTCCAGCTCCCGGAGCGCCGCGGTGCCGCCACGGTCTCCCCGCTGGAAAAGTCCACATAAACGCCTCTGGAACGCTCGGAGGGACGTCGGGAAGCAAAAATGGTAAGAGCCGGGGGGATTCCCGCCCGTGGGAAGGCCATCCCTGTCCCGGGGCACCCCTGAGTTGTCCCGAACTCGTCCCTTGGCAGCGCCCGATGCGGATCTTCGTCAACGACGACCGGCACGTGATGGCCAAGCACTCGGCCGTGTACCCCACGCAGGAGGAGCTGGAGGCCGTGCAGAACATGGTTTCCCACACGGAGCGAGCGCTCAAAGCCGTCTCCGACTGGATCGACGAGCAGGAGAAAGTCAGCGGGGAGCAGCCGGAGTCGGAGTCCATGGAGACGGCGGCCGAGGAGGAGAACAAGGAAGGAGGGTGAGGAGAACAAGGAAGGAGGGTGAGGAGAACAAGGAAGGAGAGTGAGGAGAATGAGGAAGGAGGGTGAGGAGAACGAGGAAGGAGGGTGAGGAGAACGAGGAAGGAGGGTGAGGAGAACGAGGAAGGAGGGTGAGGAGAACAAGGAAGGAGGGTGAGGAGAACAGGGAAGGAGGGTGAGGAGAACAAGGAAAGAGGGTGAGGAGAACAAGGAAGGAGGGTGAGGAGAACAAGGAAAGAGGGTGAGGAGAACAAGGAAGGA